TACCTGTCCGTCTTCGACGCTTCTCAGCAGTTTCCTGAAGGGTTCTACACTACCAGCCAGTCCCTTCTGGAATTCATCCCGTGCCCCCTCGTCTCCCAAACGCTCTACTTTCCACCGGAACAATTTCCTCTGTTTCTTACTCTCCATCTTTCCAGATCGGTCGATGTTTGCCCATATGAGGAAGTGGTCGGTCGAACCTGTATCTATCGCACTTACGTGCAGCTCTGGGATCTGTGTGCTCCCCCCATCCACCAGGATGTAGTCGAGGATCGAGTATTCATTGCAAACTGCCCGTTGGCTGGTGAACTCCGGCTTATCGCATACCCTCCTACCGTTCAACACCATTAGTTCGTTGCTTCCCAAGAATTCAAGCATCCTCACTCCGTTGTCATTCACTTTGTCTTCTCCGTGCTGCCCGATCGCCTGTCCTCTACTGGCAACTTTCCCTACTCTGGAGTTGATTCGCCCACCATGACAACTTCTCCCTTCCTACTGAAGCTCTGGACATCTTCCCCAATTTGTCCAAAGTTCTCCTGCGCCTTGCTTGCGACTTTCTTCGACGACGGTGGGACGTATACGTTCCCTAGAAACAAATCTTTCTCACCCCGCTCCCCAGGTATCCTANGATCACCGATGGCCAATCGTTCCTTTCTATTTTGCCAAATGTGGTTCAAAAAGGTTAAGGTTTCCCCCACTCCTTATTGAGGGGAGGGGGAATCCTTCGGTTGGTGTCTCTGCCCGTGTAAGCAATGGTATTTGGAAAGGATCGTTCTCTCTTACCGCCAAAAACACATCACCACCATCAGCGGAACAGGCAAGGGCGGTGAGGGCGTCGGTGGCGCCGCTGTTGCCCGCACGCAAGCAAAAACAGTGTCATTTACATTATTCTTCGTGGGCGACGTTCACAAACTGCAGACGCAGGCAGAGTGACAAGGGTGTTGGACAAGAAGAAAGCAGCAGAGTGCTGGCCTCTGGATTTCTGCAAAGCTGTCATGCTACGCCGACTCACATCGTCGGGCCGAAAGCCCCGCCCCCGAGCCTCTCGCCCCCCCCTCCCCACCCCGTGAGGACGCTCCACCCCCGCCAATGGTGCTTATCCCCGCCGCCATGCCGTCTAGGCACGAGTTGATGTGTACCTGTCATTAAACCATGAGCGGACGACGGTCAGCGGACCCAGCAGCACCAGCGGCAACACCCGTACAATTGTAGAGAACGAGCACGCCGCGGGCGGTGGTCGAAGGGTGTTCGTTTCAGCGGAACCGGGAGCACCAAAACGAGCACAGCAACGTCATAGCCAATATCGCGAACGAGAGGGGAGGAGAGAGGGAGGACAACGTAGAAACGTTGGAGACTAATAGAGAGGTGGCAATAAACATGCGGTGCTATTGCGGTACACCTCCAGCTGACACGCGAGGGCACAACTTCGCTGCTCCAGACGTTGTTTTCCTGAACGGCACATGGAATTTCCTCAAAAACACACACACGTGCTGCAGGGACACTATACACACTTTACTCCAACAGTATCGGCTGCTCCGCAAAGGGAGCAAACAATCACGCGTTATGTCCGAAGCCGAAACTTCTTAAATGTACCCTTGCCTGTCGTGCTCGGACACTAAGCCCCCACACGGCGCTTCCGCACACCGGACACCGCTCTCGCTTTCCCGAACATGCCTCTCCCACAGCAGAGGATGAGGGTGTAGGACGCCGTTCTGCGGCTGCTCTGCTGCTGCTCCCCCCTCCTCCTGCGCTATTAGCTGACTCTTCTACCACCTCATGTTCATCGAGCTCCGCGGCCATGGCCGCGGCGGGGGGTGAGGGGGTGCCGTCGACGCCGTTGTGCGTTGTTGTTGCTCCTCGCATTCCCGGCGGTATTGTCGCGAGTCTTTGCCGTGTCGGTGTGTGTAAAGACTGCAAAATCGGTTGGTTTGGCGATGTGGCGGACGGCAAGTTGTCACCGAGTCGTCCTCTTCTTCGACTCCTTGGCTGCTGCTGCTGAAGGTCGCTCTGCGCTCCGCTCGCCCCGCCGTTGTTGATGCTTGATTGATCGTCGTTGGTCCCTCCTCCGCTGCTGCTGGGACCTAAAGCCGCCGCCGGCGTCTTGCGCACAGCTTCGCCGGGAAGCTCGCCGTTTTCTCCGTCACAGCCGTCCTTATTCTGTGTCAGGCTGTCCAACAGCCGTGTCACCTGAGACGCAGCAGCAGCAATAGTAGCAGCAGCAGTAGCCGTACAGAAGTCTTGCTTGGCTGCCCCAGCCGCGGCGGCTGCGGTGGTCGCTTCTTCCGACCGCACGTTCAAAGGGACGGCAAGCAGAGGCGGCCGGCGGGCACCGCCCCTCTCTTCGTGGCTATTAGTGTCGCGCCCTGCTTGCTCCGGACCTTTGGAGGGAGAGGCACCCGGCTGGTGTGCGGTACACTTGCTGTTCTCGTCCGTGGTAGCAAGGGCGTCGCCGCACCCTAACCCCCCTTCCGACTTCCGGACAGCAGCATGTTGTTGCAGTGCTCGCGCTCGGGAAAGAGGCTCTTCCCTCGTTGTTGCTGCTGCTGCACTTGCACGCCCAACAGCGCCTGCGGTGGTGGGGGAAGAGGGGAGACCAGAAGCAGAAGAAGCGGTAGCAGGAGGAGGAACTGCCACACTGCCGGCGCCACTACTAGCAGTGTCGTTGACAGCGGTCGTCGAATCATCAGAAGAAACACTCGCTCGTGCTTGTCCTGACCCCTGCTGCTGTTGTTCGCTTGCCTTACCATTAGAGCGCAGCGCGCTACCATTCGAAGTAGCTCGTGCTCCTCTTTGTCGTGGTAGAGCCAGCCGGCTTCTCTTCTTCGGTTTTGCGCCAGCAGCCAGCATGTTGCGCCAAGCGGTGCGAAAAGCTGCTGCTTTGTATGCCGAGATGCCGAGCGGTGAGATCTCGTGCGGATGTGCGGATGAAGTCCAACGGCGACAAACCTCAACTCTTGCGGGGGGTTCCGTGTATCGAAATCAACACCCCCATGACAGCAGGACAACGCGCCTGCAACCAGCACCCAGCACCAGCACAGGCAGCTATACGTAGCCCGTGGCGCGAGAAGACGGCAGCAAAGAAAGGAACTGAAGCTGAGATACGGTGGGTACAGAGAGCCGTGGTCCGTAGTTCGCAATACAGGCGAGGAACGGAGGGATAGCAGAATCCCTAGGCGCACGCTGTGGGCCCCCCTGAGCGGCCGGCCCGCACAGCGGGCACAAGAACCAGCGAGAGCTAGCGAGCGGGGGTGGGAGAGGAGAGATTAAGTGAGAAAAGAACCCGGTACCTTCGACAGCAGCGAGTGAGTTCACCATGACAAGCAACGTTGCGAAGAAAAGCGCCAAGCCGCCCTCGAAAGCAAAGTCTGCAAGGTCGTCGCCTTCGCTGCTCAAGGTTGGTCTGTTCAAGCGAAGATTCTGGCGTATGTAGCATCAGGCCGGTAAATACACCAATGGCGTTATCCACAAAGCAACAAGAAATGATATGCAGTTGCCTTTTACGACGTGCTGATATTTTGTACCTGCTCACCATCCTACGTCCTACATGATGAAGCTGTACGATTACTTGTGCCGTTGTATCGATGTACCGCCGTATCCGATCTCCGAAGATCGCTCACATTCGATTCGTCGTTTCCAACGAAACACATTCTTATCCTCACCAGCCCAGCGAAGGCACTTTCTTATTTGTAGAAAATAACCATAGACTAACCTCACAGAAAGACTAGCCGTTCGAGATTTGACCTCAGTCGAAAGGGATGTGTTGAAGTATTTTCAGTAAGTGGATTGAAACCGAGGGAAACTGGGCTTATTTTGAATTTGTGTAAGCCTATACACTGAGTGCACTACTCTTTAATGGTCTTTACTCAAAGGTAGATAATTTAATCGTATTCCTCGGCGCGGGTCACTTCTTTCACCTTGGGTTCCGGTGACCGTTCTGCTGCTGTAAGACATCAACAACAAGTCCGCGGAACAACTGGTAAACGCGCTATGTATGGCCAATAGGCCGGCAGAAGAGAACATAGCCAGGCCAGGCCAGTTGTCTGGGTAAGGCGGTGCAATGTGCAGTTGACACATGTGACATATTTGAATGTGACACTCGGCCTTGGTTCCTTACTTGGCTTCGAAGTGATACTTCATAATGTAGGTAACTGCGTCCCCCCTCGTAAAGTTGTCGGGATCTGTGTACGTACGTATTTCTATGAAACGCCGCGATCAGATTTTGAAGTCCAAGTCCCTATTTTTTTTTTGTGTGTCCCACGTGAACGACGTGTCAGGCCGCGCCCCTCAGCTTCAGCTGTGTTGCTGCCAACTGCCAACTAAATGACACATGGCAAACTTCTCGTCGCATACTTTGTGCTGTTCACCGGCTGCCGCTAGTCTCTGTCGTTCGAGCACTCCTCAGAGAGGCCAGAGTGTTAGCTCTCCCGCTGAACCCCTCCCACCACCTTGCTCCTGCCGTCCACGCCCCCAGCTTCGTGTTCCATAAGATCTCTTCCCGCCAGCGCCGGCTACCCTCGTCTCCAAATTGAGTGGATCAAGTGCCCCTCTGACCCCGCCCCCCCCCCTCCCTCCCACACCTAGACACTAGGATTAAGAGGTGTGTTCTCTTGAATGTGATTGTACCTGAGCTAGAGTATGCAGGAGAGGTATGGGAAGGTAACGAAAAGGCCGTCAAGCAGCTGGAAACGGTGCAGATGGCAGCGGCCAAGAAAATACTAGGATGTTCAAGTACAACGAGCAACACTGTATTGAGAGCAGAACTGGGAATGTACTCTCTTAAAATAAAGAGAGACATGCAAAAGTTGAATTGGCAGATAGACTACCAGCCATGGTTGACAAGGCAGCTTGGGGAAAAGCGACTCCAGGGAAGAAAGGAATCAGATGGGACAAGGTGGTAGAGAGGGTTTGGAAGGAGATAGGAGACGAGGAGGAGACATTGGACACGGAAGGGTTCGGGGGGTTCAAGAAGAAAGTCAAGGAGATGCTAGAAAGTAGGGAGGAGGCAACCCTTCGGAAGAAGGTACGAAGCGAAGACCACTTGGAGATATACGGGAAGTTGAAAGAAGGGATAGGGATGAAGAGTTACTTGGACGGCCCCATGGACTACGCAAAAAAACTGAAGTTGCAATTTCGAGTAGGCGATCTGGACTTGCCAGAACGAAGGAAGAGGTACAGCAGCCGTAGGAGAGAGGAAGAGGAGGATAGACAGACATGTCCATGTGGCAAATCGGAGGAGAGTAGACCCCACATAGTTGGGGAGTGTGAGCTGTACAGGAAGGAAAGAGAGGATCTCGAGGAGGACATGAGACAGAGAGGGTGTGACATGGACAAGTTTGGTAAATTAGACAACAGCGAAAAAACGATCGCGGTAATTGGGAATAGATGGTGGGCACAAGAGGCCGTAGAGGGCGGGGATAAGATGTGCAAGAAAATTTTATGTAGTTTGTGGCAAAAACGTAAAGAGCTCCCAAATGTTGGTGGTGTCTCTAGTAGGGGTAGGAACGGTGCCTCGTCTCGAAAGGGACGCGTAGTCAATGGTTAAATGACTACGGCAAGCAACAAATGAGTACGCCCCCCGCCCCCCGCCCCCCTCCCTCCCTCCTCTTGAGGGTAATGATCTAACCGCTAAGGCATACAGAACATTAGTACGACCCCCCCGCGCCGGCAACCCTTGTCTCCAAATTGAGCAGATCAAGTGCCCCTGATCCCCCCCCCTCCCCCCCC